TTTATCACTATTTATCAACATACATGTTCATATCCACACTTTTGTCCTGTCCATGTGTTCACGTGCTCTGGAGTCCTTTGCTTCATCTCTTCTTCACAAAGTAAATCACCAAGCCGATCACTGCAACTACGACAAGACCGCCGCAAATGAAGACCCAAAGGCCAGTGCGACAATATCCGAATGTTTCAATCACATTGCTTGTGAGTATATTGGGCTGAGAGAAGAGTCCTCTCGTATAGCACACGCTGAATGGAGACTTCGGACAATGGCAGGCATCTGGAAATTTACAACCCAAGCCATAGCTATAGCCAGTCTCAAGACCGAGAGGAACTGAGCTAGGACATTCACCATTGTTGGTCATTGCGTACAAGGTGATAATCTGCTTCGCTCGAAGCAAGATCTGCCTGTAGGCCACATTTGCGTTCTTAATGGCCTTGTCGATATCTCCAGTTTCGTTGGCTGCAATGGTCTCGATCTCATGTGACACGGAATGGCTCAGCGCGGTGCCATGCTCCTGTCCAGTGGTGGGAATTTGACCATGAAACATAACAACATGGCCATTTATAGATGATTTTCCCATTAAAACCTCCATTTATAAGGGATTTTCCAATATTTTCCATGGCTATGTTAAATAACCAGATGGTAAATCAGTTGGAACAAATGGAACTTGACGGCCTCCTGGAGTCTTGGATTGCTTGGATTGCTTGGATTGCTTGGATTGTCTTGGTCCTAGAAACTAGACATTAAATGACATTCCAAAGAGCTGTAACAACTGAGCATCTGCCGGTCCTGGCTATCAGCCCTGAAAGAGCGTGCGCTTAGCACAGCCAAGATCCAAATGATCACTGTCAAACGAAGCATGAGGATTTCACACTGCGACGGGTCAGCGGTGAACGTTTTTTTTACTTGAGCTGAGCCGAGATGCAGATTCAGATGCAAGTCAAGAGCTTGCAAGTAGGACACATTGCCAGACTCCGTGAAACCGAAGGAATCAATTCTGGCTCAAATTGCTCTTGAATCAACTTCTTAAGAAAATATGCACATGTATATCTACACAGTATATACATGTTTATAATTATTGTATATATAGTTCTATAATCAAATAGACAATACACACTTGAGAATCAAGACTTGATGCTGGCTCCAGGTCTTTTGTAATCAACAAATCAACGAAACTGTACATCTGCTGCTCAATTCCATGCACAAAAAACCATGCAGGCCTGGCGGTGTGCACGCCGAATTGGATCTGAATTAAGAAGCGAAAACGGGCACATCATGAATTGAATCTCACATGTGTAGCTCGTGTTTGGTGCCTGCAAGATACCTTACGGTGCAAAGGAACATCCTTTCTGATCCTTGATTTCAATCCTGAACTTCGAGCTGTTCTCTCATCAATATTTTTTTGATCAGTTGTCAAAGCATGTCAAAGCCCTTATGCAAAAAACACGCGGGGAGCGCTGTTTATGGACGGAACAAACTGCCTTGCGTGACTGCCCCTGTCAGCGGCTCAGTTCCTACTGTGTATCCATAGGATTCCTGCAGCAACTGACTCACATGGTGGAGCTACACAAGACACTTGGGATTATCATACCCCAAATCAGGTTTTAAAAGCATGTAAAACAAACAACATCTATACATGTATACATACACATATATACATATGTGGATATATGTGTATATAACTGTATTAACATGAAAGGGTCAACAGCTTAAATACTAGTTATATGGTAGACAAAACCTCCACCCACTAACAGAGGCAATGAAGGCTGACGTTGAATGATCTACCATTAAGTAACTATGCTTAATATCGATTATCCGTTAACTCATGATGAATATTGATGTAAAGTGACTACCATTAGTAATTTTAGTTTTTCTTGAGATAATCAGCTGATAATTGATATTGTTTTTTGGACACAAATTACCATTAATATCCCTTGATTATCCCGGAATGATCTGTTTTTCTTGGTTTATCCCTTATGTTTGAGGGTTCAATCCCTATTTTGTGGTTATTTCACACCATTAAAGTCATTAAATCCATAATGTCTTGGATGGTCCATCCACCATTTCCCCGTGGAAGTTCCCGGTTTTTCCCATTCAAATCCTCCCGGGAGGACATTCCGGGAGTTCCCACCGAAAGGACCCACCGGGTCCATGTCCTTCTGATCTTCCGCCCGGTCCATCTCTTCTAGTTCATCGTCCGCGAAATGTCCTGACTTTGGGTCAAAATTCACAGGAGAACCGGATGGGGCCCCAGTTAGTTAGCGTTAAGTTGGTTTATAACTACAATAACAATAGTGTATGATACTTATGAATATTTATAACTATACTACTATATTTAGATGAGGTTATGAGGTTATAAACCAACTTATAAATGGGGGGGCCCATCCTGAACATGATGATGGGATTGAACCAACCGTCAAGCAACTCATTTAGAGGATTAAACAACACGAAAAATATGAGGGTTTTGATCCATGAAATACCAACCAACATCATTTTGATCATGGACTGTTTTGTTTATTGATTTCTTAATGAAGATAATAGACAATCCATAAAACTAATTTTGATGGGATCTTAATGGGATTTGATGGGGATATTCTGGATATATAATGCTGTGTACATACAACAATGGAACTTTGGGGTCTGTCTGAAAACACTTATTTACCGCATGTAGATATAGATATGGCCATTTTGATAAGGAACATCTTATGATTAACCACTACATTTCACGGCCAGCAATGGTGCCATGCCTCATCTGCGGGACGATCTGTGCCCTGCGCTTGTCATGCGTTCCTTATTCCCTCAGTGAAGGTAGTGGCGTCCCCTTTCCTTCAAGTTTTGAAAGTCTTCTATGAAAGTAAAATTTAGCACGGGTGGGGGTATTTTTCCTTCCTGTGAACATGCAAGTTGTCAAGTGAGTGTCTGTGGGGTGGGTGCGTGCTGCGGGTAAATTTAGGAGTTTCCCATCATTTTCTTTCGATCACACACACCCATATACGTCGAAATTAAGGTGAGAACCATGGATTTTGGGACATTTGGATGATAATCTGCTGTCTAACATTTGTTCCAAAAGAAAGCCTAAACGACACACACTCTGGATACAACTCATGACAACTGTTTGCCCGCCCTGCAATCAAATTGATTGACCCCCAATATAGATGGCTATATGGCTATATATATATATACACGTATACATGCGGTAACTACATTTAAATATACGAACTGGTATTTCATACTACCTCCGGGGCCTCGCGGTCTGGCCCGCCCTCCACATATTTAAATGTCGTTACCGAATATATACTCCTAAGCATGCAAACGGCGATTTGTGATTCCACGGGCAACCGCAAGAACATGATCTGCAATAGCAACTAATGAATCTTTCTTTGGCCTCTTAATTAATGTTAATTATGTTGATTGGCATTGGAGAGGTACCATTTTAGTAGCGGATGAACTCAATCTTCGGGAAAGCCTCAAGTTTTCATCAGGATAGATTCTCTTATCCCAGGTGACCTTAACCCCGTTCTATCCCCATTATCCCCCAACCATTCCATATATGCCCAATATATCCCTAGTATATATACCCATTTGGTTGGTTCCCAGCCTCCTTGCTAAATGGTTATGTCTAAATTACCCTTAGCTTCAAAAAGGCTAAAAGTCTAAGGGAATGGCTAACCGCCAGGCCATGATGGACCCATTAACCGTTGATTATTGATTATTGGGTTGATATTCCACTTTTTTACAGATATTTATAGTCCTTATCCAATTCTATCCCCATTCTATCCCCATCATATCCCACTATACCACAATTGTTCTCCATTTTTCTTAATATCTCCTTCAACATACCATTTGAGCAGTGTTCAATGCCCTGTGTCATTCTATTTTGCTGGATGATTAAGAACGGTGTTCCCGGCTCATAGGCTATGATGTGTTATGATTTGGTATAATCCCCGAACTAATCATCAACCAACAGGGGTTTAGCAGCCGCTGCTCATCTGTAACCCATATAGTTATTGTCGGTTATTACCTCCTCCCATGATATTTTTCTATCCCCATGAGCCAACCGTCATTTAACAAAAAAATATCCGTATATTTTCATGGAAAGATACGTCCTATTAGGGTAGATCATAGGGGATTATTTCTAAGGGTAGATCACCTAACAGTTATATATCCCCCATCAAACTATCATTCAACAGTTGTATTAGTTGTATCCACTTCTATCCCCATATTTTCATGTTTATATTGAAATGCCCAGGGCCAGGTAACCGGGTAACCGCTCTCTGCCAAGTGTCGGTTCACATCCCGCACGCCTGCCTGGCGCAGCGCATTTCGGACCCGGAAGAGGGCTCGGCGCTTGGCACGGACCAAGCTGTCCGCCTGGGTCGCATGGCGATTCGAAGAATGAAACGAATGGCTGGTAAAATGCTGGTAAAATCATGGGGAAAATGACATCTTAAAACATCTTAAATCATCTAAAATCAATTTTGATGAGATGATATACACATTTGAGACAATGCCATGGAGTTGAATCATGTTGGATATCGATACATTCTTTCAGGCTTCAATACTGATACTTCGGGAAGCCTTTGATGGTCCTCTGCCCAGAAAAAATGCTCATTGCTTTGGATCAGACATCTGAATCGTTCCAATGCCTTTTTTTGGGTACTGTTCAATCAATATAATTAATGTAAGATTAGTAATAGTAACACCACCTGGTTTGAATAGGTAAATCATCATAAATCATCTATTTTTATCGGCCATGGCTTCCACTTCCCACCTGTTGCATCAAAAGAGGCCGGCTGTTTGCTCGCTCCATGATGCTTCGCAGGTCCTGTTTCCAACCCATGGTAGGTCGGCTTCCTACTCGAACTGTTAGTTGAAGGATATGCATGGATGTATGTATGTATGCATGCATAAATGCATGTATGTATGCATGCATGTATGTATGTATGCATGCATGTATGTATGCATGCATGCATGTATCGATGTATGTATGTATGTATGCATGCATGGATGTATGTATGCATGCATGGATGTATGCATGCATGGATGTATGTATGCATGCATGTATGTATGTATGCATGCATGCATGTATGTATGTATGCATGGATGTATGTATGCATGCATGGATGTATGTATGTGTTGATGCATGCATGAATGGATGTATGCATGCATAAATGCATGTATGTATGCATGCATGCATGTATGTATGTATGCATGTATGTATGCATGCATGCATGTATCGATGTATGTATGTATGCATGGATGTATGTATGTATTCATGCATGCATGTATGTATGCATGCATGGATGTATGTATGTATGCATGCATGTATGTATGTATGCATGCATGGATGTATGTATGCATGCATGGATGTATGTATGTGTTGATGCATGCATGCATGGATGTATGTATGTAAGCATGCATGGATGTATGTATGTGTATGTATGTGTATGTATGTGTATGTATATGTATGTGTATGTATGTGTATGTATGTGTATGTATGTGTATGTATGTGTATGTATGTGTATGTATGTGTATGTATGTGTATGTATGTGTATGTATGTGTATGTGTATGTATGTGTATGTATGCATGTATGCATGTATGCATGTAATTGCATGTAACTGTATGTAATTGTATGTAATTGTATGTAATTGTATGTAACTGTATGTAATTGTATGTAACTGTATGTAGCTGTATGTAATTGTATGTAATTGTATGTAATTGTATGTAAATGTATGTAATTGTATGTAATTGTATGTAATTGTATGTAGTTGTATGTATGTAATTGTATGTACAGTATAATATATATATATATGTATGATTATGTATATATATATATACACATATATTTATATACATGCATATATATATATATATATGTGAATATACACATGAATCTTTGCGGAAACTTGGCAGATACTTGGTTTTAACGTTCCGGCTAGCAGGGTCTTTTTTCATAGGAGAAGTCATCAGACACTACGAGTTGGACCTGTCTGGTAATTTTGCTGTGCCTTTGGCTGTGCGGCCGGAATTACCGGAAAAGCTGTAGCTAGACATTACATTACATTACATACAAGAATGTACATATATATATATATTATACATTCTAATCATTCTCCCAAATATACTCCTGACTTCTCCCCATATCCCTCTGCTCCTCTTCCTTCTCTCGTTGGGTGCGTTGTAGACCGCGGCGCTTGTCCGAGACAATGCGTTCGATCTTTTGCTCCAGAGGCTCTACTCTCCCCATGGCCTCTCCAGCAAAAATTGGGTGATTTAATCCATCCAAAAGGAGGAAACAGCCAAAGCCTAGAGATCTTAACAAGCAATGTGGATTTGACCAAAACATGGATTTATATAATAGGATTTAAATTACGACAAAAAACATGGATTGAATATGATTTAACCAGCAACCTGGTAGTTTAACCATGGCATGCGTATTTCCGTGTCTCCATGTGCGCAACCATTCGTTTGGGTTGATGAGGGTTAAAGAACCCCTTAAGAGCTGTATTAAAGATCCAGCTGATACAACGTTGCTGCCTGCATCACGCGAAACTTCACTTCCTGATTGGGAGCTTGGGCCTTGGCTCGATCCAGTGCACGAGACAACTTCCAGACCAACATGTCTGTGAACTTAGTAACTCAAGTCCGACCAAAGTCCCAGCAAAAGCACAGTATCAATCGCAGTGCGACAATGTCATTTCCCGCCTCTTTCAACTCTTCCCTTTCCTTCATCTCCTTCACTCGACGTTCTTGCAGTTTCTTCCTGGTTGCCTGCTGGTAGCTCGTCACCTGGCAGTCAGTTTGAACATTGAGTTGTCTCGCAACATGTTCGGTAAAATCAAGGCTAATCAAGGACTGCGCGGGAGACTTAATCTACTGTACATAAAATGGCTTCCCACCAGCCAGTGCCCAAAATTCCCAGCTCAAAAAGAGCGAAGCTATGTTTGGCATTATTGACCACATTCATTCGGAGGCACAGCAAGATACGGTGTGACTGGCATGGGTTTCAGTCTGGTATGTTATGTCAATTTAAAAGTGCAGAACAGTCATGGGTCAGCCTTTGGCACCATATATTGCAAATGGATTCAAACGCTGCATCTGCATGATTCTATCCAAGAATAGCGCAATTGAAATCAAATGAAGTCAATTGAACATTTTCGATCAGACCAAGCAGCAGCTAGATAACAAACACTTGAATGGCTTGAATATTGAATGGCTTCCGATGGCTTCCGAAGACTGCAAGGAATTCGAGTATTTAGCCACTGGTTAGCACCGCACCTTTTCCGTGCTACGCACCGGTGCCACCGGTGCAGTTGGACCTGAGGTCACCCAGACGTTGGGCGATTTTGGAGAATTCTCTACAGAACTGATTCCAAATTAGGGAGAGGATGACTCAATACATAGCATACCCTCTGGTACATAACTATGGAAAACCACCGTTTTTTAGTGGGTAAATCCACTATTTCGACTGGGCCATTTTCCATGTCGCAAACTGTTAGTCATATTTTTCCGATGCTATCCTGCTGTTCAAAAAGATGGTACCGGCACCCTGTTGTTCTGAAAAAACAGCTGGGATCAGCTGGAGGTTCATCCCCCCACAGGTGAATCACCAGGAAATCCCTATGAAAAATTGGCCATGGGGGTATTTGCAAACCATTTTCAGACACACCCTTAAATTCACTAAAAACAGCGGAAACAAATCCCTATTTTTTCGTTGGTTTAATGATAGTTACATTAAATAAATGTAAATAATTCATAATGTCAGTTCTACCTTTTTCAAGGTTGAATCCCTATGTTTGATGGTTAGATATGGGTAGATATGGTTAGACAAGTATTTTTGATGTGGACGTCGACTGCCTGGAGCCATGGGCCGATGATAGCGCCAATCTCTTCTGGGGTCCTCACGCGAGTCACGGTTGCGGCGGCCAAGCGGCTGGTTCATGAAAAAACCCATGGATTCATAGGTTAATTAGGTATATACCATGTATATATATATAGTCCAATGGTATATTATCTAGTCCAATTCATATACCATTGGTATATATATATACACACATAGATACATATATAGATACATGGTCAATCTTTGGTAGTCCACAGAAAACTACTTATCCAAGGTTGGGGATGGATGTTTTTCTATGGGTAGATCTGTTGGTTTTTCTAGGCAAATCTAGTTAGTTGGTTGTTTCAAAACCTCAGATAAATAACAGGTAAAACATCTATAAAATGAATCATCTTACGCCATTTTCCACAGCTGCCATAGCTATGTGAGATTTATATAGATTTATATTGAAAAACTATCCATTCAACCCCGTTCTTTCAGATTATCTCCACCCATCTTCCAACTCCCAACTCGTCAGCCTTGGGCATGCTCGGGTGTCGGCTCTGACTGCGTGTCGGCGTGTTGAAGACGAAGGGCTCAGGCTGCGTCACGCCACGGTTCATGTACTTGCGCCGTTCCAACCTCGGTCGGAAGTTCCACTCGCCTTTAAGAAATCATGACGTACAAAATGCCCAGTTTTTGATGCCGTAGGGATTCTTCGATGATCAAACAAAGTATCGAAAATGGCAGTTTTCGTTGATCAGCATCCAATGGCTGGAAATCCTGTCTGCCATTGGAGAGACCATCCCAGGTAAGATAGGTAAGGTTGTAAGATGTTGTATATCTAGGGTGCATCAGTACATCATGAACCCCAGTTGTCTCGGAAATGGCTGGTATGTATATGTACATATATATATAGTTATATATAATTGGATTCGCAACATCATTTGAAACTATTTGAAACTACCAACCAGTTTCACCGGTTTCTTTTCCCATTCTGGCTTATAAATGTGTTACATCATGTTACATCATGTTACATCCATTTATATTCCGGATGATTCCCAATCATTTCCAATTGTTCCCAATAATTTCCCGTACCTTCTTAGTAAACTCCCCATCCATGGTAGGCTCAAGCGCTACTTCATCCCACCATCACCAGCCCCCCCCCAGCCCGGCAAGAGACTGGCGCTTGATCCGCTCGTGGCGCGCGGCAAAGTCTGGAACCTCTACACAGGGCGATGGCTAGGCCCCAGTCGCTGGACTGGTTTCAGGGAAGATTCATAGATGTTAATAGATTACACTGGGGACTATTCAATAGATAAATATGTTAATAGATGTCAATAGATCAATCCGGAGTGATCCCTTCCACGAAACGCCCCTGAAACTATGATGAAACGGCGGGAATTTCCAGCTGGGACCAATTAGATCAACCCCCCTAGGCTGTGAAAAATTGGGGGCTGACCTATTAAGTATCATATTATCAGCATTTGGAGGGTACAGTACCACCATTTTTCCACAAACCATGATTTATGAAAATCCGGCGTTGACATTAGTAAGCCATGGTTCCTATCATTCTACATGGGCTTGGTTTTCCCCTTGATCTTCCCGTGATCCATTTCTGGGACCAAACTTTTTTATCGTTGATCCCCAATTACTTTAGAGAAAGGCCCGCATGGTCACAAGGTGTGCGATTTTGAGGCACCCCCTGAAATCTCTATGGCGGTGAACATCATCTTCCCAAGTGAAACAGTCGTACATTAGGGTTTAGTTGTTTTTGTATGTTTTTGTACATATGGGGGTTTCTTGAGTCATGGGGGATCCCCAGTCGTCATCATGGTCGTTTCAATACTACGACTACAATGGTTTAAATGACTTAGATGATTTGGGTACCACCATTTCAGGATAAACCCAGATGACTGTTGATCAAGCCAGCCATCAAACACCTGCTTTTGCCTCCTCCAAACCAGCTTTTCCCATGTTTTTTTGGAACGTGAAAGGCAAATGACAGGATGAAATGGCCCACATCCATATTTGGATTTGTCTGAACATGGGTACAATGGGTACACCCAGACTTGATGGTTTATCAATGTTTAGCACCATCTTCGCCATGAAAATTGCAGGTTTTGGCTAGACTCCATTTCAGACAATCCCCGAAATATCACTTTTGCTTGTACAATATACCATTCTATCTCCAAATCCCCCACCAAATCCCATTATCAATTGATCGATTCCCTACTTTTTTCTCTGTGAAATCCCCGTAAATCTCCATGAATTGGTTGGTTAAATCATCGTCAAATCCGTGTTGCTGATGTTTAAGCCACCATCAACTGGTTGGCTAAATACTATCAAAATCCCGTATCACCACACATTCCTATGAAATCCCATGATCAATTGGTTCAATCCCTCACTTTTTGAGTGTTACATCCCATATCATGTCCATTACCAACCAGGGGCCTCCGTGGTGGAAGGTTCTCGTGGGATGTCACGTTCCCAATGTGGACGCGGTGCTGACTGCGGACGTTGAGGGCCACGAGGACGTTGCCCTGAAGGATTTTCAGCGGGATACCACCAACAATGGTGTTAATCAATACATTGACATGATGATGCATCTATATTATACGAATATGTATATATAATAATTATATAGATTATATATATAATTACATAGATTATATACGCATATCATCATCTATCATCATTTTAATCTATCCATCTATCCAGTGGAAATTCTCAATGATCAAGCCAGATGTCATTTGGGTCGAGATTTGGTGATCTCACCCACAGCTGGGGGCCACAACCTCAACCAGCAGCTACATGCAGCATTGTCTAAAATATGCCCACAACATTCCCATGGAAATGCCATGGGAAATGCCATCGAAAAACACAGAATCACTGGGTTTTGTATGATTTTCTCATATCTTCAGGTGCAGGTAGCTCATCTGCCGCCCCTTTTGGTCTAAGTGCATTGCAATAAAGGCTGACCCAACTCCATGGAATTTCCCAGTGGAGTACGTGGACAAATCCGCTCCACAATCTGCACGGCCAGCTTCCTGAGACAGCAGAAAGATTTGACATGTGACATGAGGTGCACACGGCATCTATACATATGCGCGTCCTTAAATATATCATTGTCGTTGTCGTTGTTGTTGTTGTTGATGATTATGATGATGATGATGATGGTGATGATGATGATGATGATGATGATGATGATGATATTGTTATTGTGGTCGTGGCCGCCGCCGCCGCCGTTGTTGTTTATGGCCTTATTTATCGAGCTTCGTATTTCATTACGTATATCTTACAGAAACATACGTTATCAGCACTGAATCAGAAATATATATCATATTTTATAGATTTATGACTATATCAACAATATATAATATATATCATATTATAATCAATATTATATGATATTATATCGTTGTATCATCATATCCATACCTAGACCATCCTGGACGACCCTCCAAGTCCACCACCAAGCGGCTTGAGGATGCCCAGGAAGGTCCAGCCGCTGAGATCCACCACCTCGTGGAAGAAACACCCCTGTTGATGAGTTAAAGCGGGATTCGGACCTTATATATCTGTTTTACATAATATATCTGTTTTATATATCTGTAATTACATAATATTAAGTAATATTATATATTGAGGAAGATCATCCGGAATCCTGTTACCAACTATGCTTCGGGACGTTTTCGACAGTTGGGGTTTTGGAACGGCCTCGCGTTTCAGGAGCTGCTCTTCTGCTTGTAGCTTCAACAGTTGATGTTGTCGCTGTCGGCTCTTGGCCCTCAAGGACTCGATCGTGGCTTGCAGCTCCCCATCAGATGCTCCCTGTCCATGCGACCATGGCTGAAAAAACCATAGAAACAAGACACAGAAGACACAGGCATGGGTCTATTCAACATTAACCAACAACTCATTTCAAGTCAAAAATCAAGATTTACTCAATCCATCTCAATCTTCTTTTCGCATCTTTTCGCTAGCCTGAAACCATTTACATTGCTCAAGCCAATATGAGTCTTGGAGGATGTGTATCAACCCCAGTCGCAGATGGTTTCAATCCAGAGCCTGAAGTCTACTTTGGATCTTCAGATTAATGGTTTCCTCAGCTGTAGCAAGCGGCTTGATTTTTAAAAAGTCAGTCTCTGAGAGTCTAGTTAGAACAACTCTGTTTCATCATGTTTCACCTATCACAAGCACATCCACAAAAAACCTCAAAAAACATACCACTGAAGGATAGTTTCATTGGCTGCCTGACCCAAGAACTCGTCCAAATCTTTCTCAAGCACTCGGTAAGAAACATAGTTCCGCCATTGCTTCAGTATCAATCGAGCAGATCTGTGCCTTTTAAATTCTTCGACTTTTTGCCTTTTGGCCTCTTGAACTCCCTGATGTCCGCGCCAAACTCTTTGAATGGCCATGGCACTCTCTGAACGTCGCTTCCAACGAAGTGCCGAAAGCTTCGAGCGCCAGAAGGCCTGCAAGCGCGGCACAGCCGCCCTCTTTTGGAGCAACATCTTTCTTAAAAGCCGGGCTCGGCTCCACGCTTGGATGAAGCCCAATGCCCACTTGCGCAGCTTGGCTTCTTCACGACAATGACGACCACGCTGCCAGCTCTGTAAACGAAGTACTGCCCGGAGCTTTCGCATCGCTGCAACTCTCTTTCTGGCAACAAAGCCCCGCCCATTCGTCTGAACCCTGCGAACTGCTTGGAGAACTGAATGGAAGCGCTTCCATGCTTGGTGGGATCTCACAAAGGCTTGAATCTGCACTGCTGCTGCTCGTCGAACACCGGACAAAGCATGGCTTAGAGCTTCGACTGCTTCACGCTTCAGAAAAACCAGGCTTTTTCCGACCGCCCATGTTTGTTTTGGGATCACACAAATTGATCTGCGGGGTGTCCGTGGTGTTCGAGGTGTTCTTGGAGTGCTTGGACTCGGAGAAAGAGGCTCAGACAAACGCTCGAAAAGTAAGCGAGCAGCTGACGCCAATTGTCCCCTGGCTGCTTGTGACTCCACTTGCACTCGCTCAGGACTCAGGCAAATGAACTCTTTAACCTTGGATTTTTTAAAGGAATCTTCAAGCAAAATAAATAAACAACGGTAGATTCACGTAGATTCTCCAGTCATGGTGGACTTACGGGAACATATCATAAACTTATGTACAAGTCAATATAATTACACTGTCAAAAAATCGAAGTAACAGCCTGTCGATGCTTGAGACGAACTGGAAATCCAACCCGGCTCACTTCAATGGCCTGCAACACACCTTGATACTGCAGCTGCTGCACCACGGATTTTCGTTCGAAACTTCCAGCCACGTTCTTTTGATTCGGCTTGATGCATCGAACGAAGTGGGGTTCTGTCGAGCGGATACGCTCCATGAGCTTCTGCAATTCACCTGAACGAAGTTGCGGTCGTTCCCTGTCTGTTTCCGCCGTTGGTGTTCTGGGATAGTGATGCTTGCCCGTCTTTTGCTGCTCGGTGGTTTCAATCCCCCCAAAACAAACCGGCGTCAAAATAAACAAAACCACCTAACAGTTCGATTTTATGAACAGTTGTATGAATCCCTATAGTCATTCCATAATTCATCATCAGTTACAAACGCAAGTTTCCGGTGGGCATCTACCCACCATCCAGCCATCCAATCATCCGATCATTCCATCCATTTTATATTGGTTATATACTCTTTGCATCCCATATTCATATTGTAGCCTATGTTGTTAGTGTTCTCCTTCTTTCTTGATGGGTTCTTTGAAGAGTTTGTATCTCATTACTGTTATCGCTGTTGGTCGCCATTATATCTTGATGATGTTTGGCTTTACACTACCCACAGCTGGGACAAATATCTTCTCTTCACCAGCTTGTATCTCCGTCATTCCATTTTGCATACATATGCACATAAAGCGGAAATCAACATACACATCTATCACATCTATCATATCTATCATATCTATCTTATCTATCTTGTCTACCTACCTACCTACCTACCTATCTATCTATCTATCTATCTAATCCTATCTATCTATCTAATCCTATCTATCTATCTATCTATCTATCTATCTATCTATCTATCTATCTATACATATATACTATGAATTTAAATAATGATATACTGGATTTTTCCATGGTATTCTCCAGCCGTTCCCGTACCTCGGAAGTCCGAGGACACCGTGTAGAGCTTCGCCTTGGTCCTCCGCTGTGCGCCCGCGGCGTCCCTGGATGTCTGGGTGCCGAAGCTGCGGTCGCTAACCTTGAGCAGTTGCTGAAGGAAGACCTGGCAGGGAGAGAAAGCTCCAAGTGATGACTGGGGAATCGTTTTTTTTTGGGATGTCGGGATGATGTTGGGATTTTATGAAGGATCGGATGAGTGTAAAAAGCACATTGTCGAAATCTTATGGTGTATTTTCTCTATTGTGGAAGTATTCCGAATCACATTGATAGGTATTGACTCCTGACCGATGAGAGGTGTAACACATCTGAGGACCTTAAGAAATAAGACATCTTAAGACATCCTAAGGCATCTTCTGGCATTTTAAGACATCTTAAGGCATCTTGAGATTAAAACATACCCATAAAGAACGTCATAAACCCTTTCTGATGGGCCTTTGAACTGTTCTTCATGCACTTCACCAAGTCTGCTCCCAAGGCATCGCGATTCTTCTCCACAAAGGTCTTGGACGTGTACTCCACCGGCCCTGCAACGCATGGCACCATGGCACCATGGGACAACAGCTTTTTCTTGTGACCTTTACATTTGATGACGTCAGTCGTCATTGAAATGAGAATACTACAGAATAGTTTGCTGCTTTGTACGGTTATAGAATTCGTATATCTTATGATATCGGAAAAAAAACATGATGACATCATCCAAAAATCAAACAAATGACATCAACACCTCAGAAGGGGTCCTGCGAAATGGTGTACCACAAAGTTGTTCTGTCTGAGTTTCACCACGTCGAAGTGGCGGTTGCTCCCGTGCGCGCGCTGCATCTTGGAACACCAGCCCTCGGAGCTTCCACCAGTGGTGATGCACTCCTGACAGCTCACAATGCCCCTCAGCATCTAAAAAATTGGCATCACTGTGACTGGGTCATGTTTTTCTCATGTTTTCCACAGCAAAAATATCAACAAATTGTGCCTCGTCCAACATGGGGAGAATTCCCAAGGGCGTTTTGCCACCCACCAGGTCAACAATGGCGTGATTGTCTGGGAAATCCAATGGATCCCATTGAATTCCCTCTCTCCTGGCGGCAACCGCCAACCTGGAACCCCAAGCGTTTGTGAAGTGATTCTTCACCACCACAAGACCGGTTTCACAACGCTATTTCTGGTTGGAACTAGGGTTGAACCTTGAACCCCTATGAAAGTGCTATGCTCCATGGGTTGCAGCTACTTAAACCTCCGCGGAAATTCACATTTTCCTGAACCTTTATCCTTGGTCCTTGGCTCACCCTGTCCCCCATTTCGGTCACCAGCTCGCACTCCTATAGAGATCAGCTTCATGTTCGAAGATGACCTCGTTGAAGTACTGCTGCAGCAGCTCGTTGGTGAAATTGATGAAGAGCTGCCTCGGGATCTTTGAAGATTCTGGAAGTAGACAGATTGGTAAAAACTGTCAAGAAACATCAAAAGGCAACGTTCGAATGGATACCATTGTATATTATGAGAGTGGCAACCTGATGTCAGATTATTTACACATCAATTTTCACGTCAAAGGTCGCAAAGCCAGCAGCTCGCACCCCCAACTGACTGCCCAGCCACTCCAAGGAGTTTTGATCAAAGAACTCGAAACCAAAAATGTCGAGAACTCCAACCTGAGCGTCCGATCTACACCCGATCTATGTCCATTTCAACAGCGAAAATTATGATCAACCCATCCAAAAAAGGGTGGCAACCTAGGGCAACCAGTCATAGATTTTCAGGGCGACATTACTCGATGTGACCCTGGTATTTGGTGAAATTTTGGTACATAAACTCTACGACTCTACAACTCTTTAAAACTCGTTAAAACTCTTTAACGCTCTTTAAACCTCGTTAAATCTCTATAAACAATTAAAGAATATTAAAGGCATACTTTAAAGTTTTAGAGAGTTCTAAAGAATGTCAAAGTGAACTTGATTTTAAGTTGGGATGGTTAATTCATAAAAAATCAAAAAAAACCTATCATTGGGATTGGACCACCTCACTGCAAAAAAATCAAACAAAATAAGTCTAGAGCCTACTTGTCGAAGGAAGTTTGGAAGTCAAACTTCCGACAATATGGACAGATGAAAAGCAGAGGTAGAGCAGAAGAACCGAGAAGAGAAGAGCAGAAGAGAGAAGAGGAGAAGAGAGAAGAGCAGAAGAGAGAAGATCAGAGAAGAGAAAGTCTCAGAAGAAAGAAGATCCAGGTGCCCGAAAAGGTAGGAAAGTCGCGACGCGAAACAATGTGTTTTTTCAATGATTTTGTGGCTCCAGAGGGTCGAAAAGTAGGCTCGCTAAAGCGGCGGGTGGCCAGATGAGAGATGAAAAATTGCACGCCGTTGTGGCGCGAAGCACATTTCCAAGTCAAAAGGTGCAAAGCGCACCAGCTCCGGACCACTTTCGAAGCTGCGATGTCGCCGTTGTGGCGCGAAGCACATTTCGAAGTCAAAATGTAAAAAGCACACCAGCTCCGGACCACTTTTCGAAGTTGCGATGTCGAAAAAGTGCACGCTGTTGTGGCGCGAAGCACAATTAGAAGTCAAAATTTACAAAGCACCTCACGTTCGGACCACTTTTGGCAGTTGAGATGTGGGAAAAGTGCACGCCGTTGTGGCGCGAAGCACATTTCCAAGTCAAAATGCACAAAACACACCAGGTTCGGACCACTTTTGGAAGTTGCGATGCCGAAAAAGTGCACGCCGTTGTGGCGCGAAGCCCATTTCGAAGTCACAATGTTAAAAGCACTGCATGTTTGCGCCACTTTTGGGCGTTGAGATGTCGTTTCGCGTGGCACGCGCAAGGGATTGTGCACCTTGTCAAAAGTGAGCAAAGCGTGAGGGCGTGGGACCTGTGAAGAGGATCTGAAAAGATGCATTTTCTGTGGCAGGCGCAGTACAAGAGACACGCTCATCAGAGCTGTTAGGAGGTCCGGGCGCTGATTTCCTGCGATGAGTTGCATTTTGGCGCATCAGATCTTCAGGTTTGCTGAGATGATTTTGCGTGACAGGTGCAGCACTTCGTATGACCTGGCATCATTTTTTCGTGGCAGGCGCAGTCGTTTAGACAAATGGATTGGAAAAATCGCAAAACGCATTGGTACGAGGCCGTCAGCGCTGCACTCAACTCTCCATTTTTAAAGGAAGTCTCGCAGAATTGTTTCGTTTTTGATGTTGTCAAGTTCAAAAATTGAGGAAGTCTCGCAGACTTGTTTCGTTTTTGATGTTGTCAAGTTCAAAAACTGAGGACGTCTCGCAGAACAGCTTCGTTTTCAAGCTTGCAGATAGACAGATAAATACATAAACAACTACAACTACAAGTACCACTACACTACACTACCACTACAACTACAAGTACAAATATACTACGCTACATTACACAACACTAATTACACTACACTAATTACATCTAATTACATCTAATTACATCTAATTACATCTAACTACATCTAATTACATCTAATTACATCTAATTACGCTACACTACACTACACTAATTACGACAACAACAACAACACCTACACCTACACCTATACTACTACTACTACTACGACGACCACCACCACCACCACCAGCAGCACCACAGCTACAACTACAATTACAGTTACAGCTACACTACATTACACTACAATACACTAATTAAACTGCAGTACATTACATCCACAAATACAAATATAACTACAACTACACTACATTACACAACACTACACTACACGAATTATTACATTACATTACACTACAACTGCAGCTACCGCTACGTTGCACTACACGACACTACACTACAACTACAACTACACTACTATACACTACAATACACTAGACTACACTTCACTATACCACGCTACATTACACTAGACTACATTACACTACAATACACTACACTACTACACTAATTACACCACACCACAACTACAACTGCAACTACACTACACTAATTACACTACATTACAACTACAACTTACACTAATTACACTACATTACAACTACAACTTACAACTCCACTACACTACAACTACAACTACACCTACGACTACAACTACAACTGCGCTACACAACACTACATCCAGCAGTTGTGGTGAGGTGACCACTGCAACCATTGCAACCACTGCAAAAAAAACACAACTCCAACCACCTGTCGGTCCATCAGTGTCTTCCCTCTGCCATCCGTGACTCACAACAACCAACCTCTCCTATAGGTTTCCTATTTTTGAAACTTCCGCCACCGCCTTGTGCGGTACTACTTGAAACATCTCTAAACTTTTAGAGTTGCCTTTAATATTCTAAAGTGTGGAACCTCTGGGGTGCCCCAAAATGAGCAGTTCACCAGCTAATTCAAGGCAAAAGTCTTTAAATTGTTAAAGTGGACACCCCTTGGGGATGCCAAAATAACCATCCAGATGTTAGAATTGTGGGTTTTACATGTTTTCCCCCTGGAAGGGGTCAAATAAGAGAGGTTGGGGGTGTCCTATGAAATGGGCAACCTTTTTTCAGACCAACAAATCCAAAGGTATCTAAAGGTTAAAGGTGGTTGAAGGATGCACTAACATGCAGTAACTAAAACTGCCCTTCTTTGTGGCTTGAGGCATTTTGCCAAGCAGTGCCAAGTAACAAAAGGCAAGAGCTTGACTTTCTTGCTCCCGGCCAGTGATTGATTCCAAGCAGCTCCTTTGCTTTCCTGGGCACGATGAAACTGTTCAATGTAAAGGGAAAACGCACAGAATGAGTCTTTGGAATATCCGACAGACAGTCAAAAGGAACCGCGCAATCTCTACAGGGCACAATCATTGTACCATTGGTGGTCAGTAACTTCGCCTCAATCCCCCTTCTGTGATTGGAACGATCCATGCCCTAGACAAACTCAGGGTGCCAAGAAGCACTCACGGTGGCATTGATCTGGGACACCACAAAGGAAAACAGCGCATCGTAGAGATGTCGCGCCTCGATTTGTGTCCAAATTCAAAAAAGTGAGGAGACCTTACAGAAAATTCTTATGTCCAAATGTACCCTCTGGTGAACTAACATAGCAATGGAAAATGGCTATTTATAGTGGATTTTCCCATTAAGAATGGTGATTTTCCATTGCTATGTTAGTTCACCAGAGGGTAGGGTTTCCTGCAATTCTTTGCCTAGATCAGTTCTGGGACTGCCAGTGGAATCCAAGGCCAAAAACTCAACAAGAGCTGGGCATACGATTCATTCCCGTGCAAGAATGCATGCACGCTGGATCTGATGGCAAATCATTTTGACTGTTGCGACTTTTGGCGGGTTAACTCCCCATCAATTGGCTGGGCAAGATGTCTATTTTTGACTAAATGGAGGTTTCCTAAAATGGGGGATCCCCAAAACCATAGGTTTCAATACCATCATAGTAGTCTAATTTTGGATGATTTGGGGGTACTCCCATTTTAGGAAACCTCCAATTACTGTATATAAATCTCCACAACTTACTTGGTGACTTCCCAGTAAAATCCCATATCACAGCACAATCCCATCATCACTTGGTAAAATTCCAAATCTTTGATGGATCAATCTCCAAAAGATGGTTGGTTGAATTCTATTTTTCATGGTAATATCATGTAACATGACTATTTAAGTCATAAATAGTTGAATCCAAATTCTTGGTGCTTCAAAATGCCATGATTTTCTTGGTGTTTCTATACAATTTCTTATGGATTGCTTGTCATGTCAAGAACTCCTTGTCAAGTCACTAAGGAGTCCCTGCTGTCCATGGCTTTTTCCACGGAGTTTTGCATAGTAATCACCCCTTCGCCTGACCGAAAACGCCGTTGGCCGTTGGGGCGATGAATCGTTGCGGCAGAAATCATGGGACATCATGGGACATACCCTCTGGTAAATGTTTACATAACTATGGCAAATCACCATTTTCAATGGGTAAATCCACGATTTCTATGGCGATTTTCAATAGCAAACTGTTAAATTACCAGAGGGTATATAAAAAAATCAAGCGCAGATCTAGACCTTGCCGCAGCCCACCGGTCCGCACCTGGCGCTTGCATCGTCCGTTTGCAACAGGCGTCCTTGAGTTTCACATGGCACCCCAATAATGGAACCATCTTCCGATTTCCCGTTTCTGGTGGATTTGCTAGTGGGGAAAACAACATCAAAACCGCTAAAAAAAGGAAATGGAGGTCTACCTCTCTCTCTCTCTCTATTAGATATTTATCCATTAAGATATATGATGAATCCATAATATATATATATATAGTCATTGTAACCATTTTAAACACTATTACAAACATTCAGATTCTCTATTAGATGAATCCGTTGTCAGTCCATCAAAAAAATATAAAAAAATCAATTAAATAATCAATCCATCGTTATTTCATCAACATTAAATCCATCAATTAATGAAAATTAGTAATCAATATTAATCCATCAATCGTTAATCCCATAATATTGATTGGACTAATATTGTTACTTGTTAATCCATTAGTCCATCAACAAATCCCTCAATTAAATTCAATCAATCCACCACTATATGATCGAAATCCATTATATAAAAACATCAACTTATTATCAATAGATGATCAAGCTATTCCATAAATTCTTAGAAAAAAAACATTTAAAAGAACGATGTTTAACCCACCATTGATCCATCATTCATACGGTTTTTGCGTATGGCAACTCCGAGGCACCGCCAGGTCTTTTGCTTCGAGCCCCAGCAATTTGGCCGCCGCATGCAGCGCCGAGTCCCCGGAGGGCAGCACCTCGGAGGCTTCGGAGTTGCCCACGGGGGCGCGGAAGGCCACGTTGCCTCACCGGGGAGGGGACGATGCCAACGGGATGCCCAAAATGGAGGAACCCAACCAAGATCAACCAAGGATCATCCAGGGATTGGAAAATCCGTAGGGAAAATCCGTTAAAAGCCAAAGATCTAGTGACTGGTTTATGGAATGATAGGACTGCAAACATCTACAGGTAGTGGTTTGTGATTTATGAATACTTATGATATTCTACCTGCACTGGTTGGCTACACAAAAGGGATTCCCATACTGGATGACAACAATATGACAACCATCCCCAATATATTGGAGAGTACGACCCTTACAATCATCAACGCAATATAAGGGTTATGATACATTGCATACTGTTATACTATCTTTTTGCATTTGTCCTATATGTCCTATTTAAACGGCAATTCTGTGGTATGCCCAGGACAAACATGGACACAGCCCATGAATCACAATGCATCAAATGCAATCTACATCATCATGCTAAGCATCATTGTTTGGCAAAACACAACAGAAAAGGAACTTGCAAAAATGCACCGAAATTCACACAGTTTTTCGTTCTTTCTCTTTTTCTTGCCGTAAAAATGGGGATGCACCCGAAGTAGGTACCCTAAAAAAACGAATACATGCAAACAGCAACAACAACAGCAAGAAGAAAAAGAAGCAGGAGGAAGAAGAATAATACCAAGAACAAGAACAAGCTCATTAACAAATCAAGAATCAGAAGAACAAGAAAGAATAATAATAAGAAGACCAACAACATGTTGCAGTTCCTTGGCCGTGACATGTTGACCCAAAAAAACCAAATCTTCACTGATTCAGCGGCCACCTTTTGGTCCATTTTGGATGATTTATCATGACTTATCATCACCTTTCCACTTCAAATTCACCCATAATTTGGGATCCCCCATTTCTGCACCCTTCACCCGTTCACCCTTCCGCCTAGGTGAAGCACTGCCAGAAGCGTGGACAGAATCCCAGAAAGATCGTCGGTGAGACCGAAGGCACGCATGGCATCGATGGTTTCGTGGAAAGCATCGTCCTACAAATCGGATTTTACTGAGGCGTTACCAATGGCAATGGATAATCCACCCATTTATAGATGATTTTCCCAGCTACAAACCTCCATTTACAAGAGATTCTCCATTGTCACGTTTGAATACCGGAGGGTAACGCCCCAAAATAGGGATTTAATCCTCCAACATTTTTGGATTTAACCATCCACGAATTGGGATTTTAACCAGCAAAACGGTATTTAATCATCTAAAAACCCGGGTTTTGAGACCGTCAATTTGACCATCAAAAATAGTGATTCAACCAACAGACAACAGGATTTGATGGAGACATCATGATGATATAAAATGGATTAAAATGGTATATTTTATAAGATTTATAGGCACCACACTAGGGTACCAAGGGATCCACCTTCAGGTGGCACAGAGGTGTCATGTCCTCGCTGATGTCAGCGTCCAAGTGAAAGCACTTCGAAGCCCGAAGGTAGTTGAACATTTCCACCTGCACCGCGAAACGCCAGCGGAGAAGTTTTTGGCATTGCCAAGAGCTGTTCGAACCCGAAGTTGAAGTATTGAAAGTCAGAAACAAATAGAGTATATAGAATGTATGTACAGTATATATACACAACATAATATGATATATCATATGTCAATATAATACAAGATATTACATGATATTAGCTTCTCACACTCCCAACACATCGCCTGCAAATCGCTCTGCAGATCCGACTGGACAATGCTTTTCAGGATTTCGCAGCTGCCAGCAGACAGGACTGCCATCATCTGGTAGAAAATATGGAAACTCCTTTCCTGGGAAACAAATGGCACTGGACACTTGGGCTGTAGATTCTGGAAGACTGGGAGATGTTTTTGTTGGAACAAATGCAACTATGGACCGCAACTGCAGGATGCAATCAAAGAATTGTCAACATGATCAAGCATAGGCGTGAGACCTCGCTCATTGTAAAGGGGGGGCAACCTTGACTTCAACTAGCAACAGAAACGTAAGTGCCCATGAAACCCATTCGAAACAATAAGTGCAATATAGTGCAATTTGTCAATGCCTCATTGATCTCATTGTATTCCAAGTTTCTCCCTCTTGTTGTTGCACAACTCGAACCTTCTCCAACAGATAGGTGTGTGTATGAGCCCCCACCAGTCTAGGCGAACCTGTTTCAGGTGGGCAGAACTGCAGCTCAATGTACTTCCCAAAGCGCGAGGAGTTTTCGTTCCGCAGGGTCTTGGCGTTGCCCAGCGCTTCCAACACAGGGATGGAATCCAAGACCTGTCGTTCCACCTTGGACATGGACGACTCGGTACCGCCGGCACCAGCCAAGGCCAGGAAGCGCATCACAAACTTCGTGGTTTCTGTCTTCCCTGCACCGCTTTCACCAGAGACCAAGACAGTTTGCCCCAAGGAACGATGCCAAACTCCCTCGTACGCAGCTTTGGCGACCTGGTAGATGTGGGGTTCTTCTCGCTTTCCATCTTTGCTTTCTTCGTCACCTGGTGACGCCCTGGAGTTGTCTTTCTTTTCATTCGAAGCCTCTTTGATGTATGCGTTGAGCCGCTCAGATCCATACAATTTTGGCAAAGGTTTGAATGGGTTGACAGCAAGCAGCATAGGGCCAGTGAGGGTGTAGACGCAATCACCGCGAAATCGAAGCTCCAATGCATGGAGCACAGCTGGTTCATGCAGGAGCGGCAACTGTCCCAAATCATGCAACTGTAAGGCTCCATCCGGCCGTTTCAGAACTTCATTGCGAAGGTGTAGCTGTACCTTGCGACCTGGTACAGGCCGGGGCACCCGCACCTCTTCCCGTGTTAGGATGGGGCCACGGTTCCGCACCAAGCCCTTCCCACCACCTTTGGCCACCTGTACCTCCACAACCACCCAGTCAACAGCTGCTGATTTGGTCGACTTCACTGGAGATGCCTTGGGAGGGGCGGCCACAGCCTCGTCCACCTCGAAAGACAAGACCACCCCTGCGCGCCAGACCTCCTGGTCGCAGGGAATCCAAACTTCTGAGCCGACCTCCAAAGCTGCCATTTCTGGGAAGCGAAATTCATCCCCTGTCGCGCCGTAGACTTGGCCCTTTAAACAGCTGCGGAGCTCGCTTCTGCAATCCGCGCTCGAGCGAGACTGCAGAAAAGAGTCAGTTGATTGAGAAGACAAAGGAGCTGAATGGTTAAACCACATCAAAACTCAAGATCAAGAAATTATTAGACTCAGTTTTATTGCTCAGTATCAATGGTTGGGTTATAGCCATTTATAGATCTCTATAGCTATCATCCCATTTTTGGGGACTCACCAGGTTTGAATCATGGCCACATAGCCTTGGACAGCAGCTCCTTGGGACCCGTAGCTATTTTCGCCTCAGTAGCATCTCCCCCTAGGGCAGTTGCAACCGCAAAAATTGCTCCAACAGAACTTGCAACATCTAGACTCTAGACACCACTATCATTAATGTTAGATTTATAATGATTTATATAACATGGTATAACCCCATCATTGATTATTCCAACATATTCCAGCAGATCATCAAGCAGTATAACATGTCAGACACCAATATTGTATAGTGTCCAGTATCTTCTTGTAGGTCCACTGGCCGATCCACCTTCCAAAGCTCAGTTGCCAACTGAGACCCAGGGTTGGCCCCACATCTCTGGGAACCTGCGCTCTTAGGGATCAGTAACAGCCACCGAGCCACCTGAAAAATCTGAGTCACATGCCATCATCATCATATTTCTAGGGTTGAACATCAAAGTGGCTATAAACCCGCAACATTTTGGTTATTCCGTTGTAGCCTCCACCATTGAGATAGTTGGTGTCGTTCTTCTCTTTTCTGGTACAACAATCTAACTGATATGCAAAACCCTTCCCCTTCTGTTCTCATCGAAATAGCTGGGATCTATGGATGTTCATCCCACAAATTTAGGAAAACAATGGAAAACATAGTAGATTCATCAACATAATAGTTTTTGATCCCCATATCATCTGGGATTTGCTTCAGATGGCCCGCCCAAGATACCCTAAATGGTGGAGTTATCAATGGGAAAATAATAGCGCTCACCTTTAGAAAATGAACATCATTGGGGATCATATAGTTTTTTTTTTTTTTCCGTCCTCATATTTTCATGTTGATATTTTAAAGCAATGTTACCTCCCATGTTGGAATGTTGGTAATTACCGCTGGTAAAATAGCCGGGTAATGATAGAGCCAATTTCACTATCCTATCCCATCCCGTTATATTGGTTGGTTAGAATAAAAAAACATATTACGGATTATTATGGCTTAGAATAGCACTCAAAACATTAGCTAGTATTCACTATTTAACCCCCACCAGATTAACCCATCAACGTGCACTATTTCTAGTGGCTCAGTTCCCATCCCCATCCAGCCCCATCCCCATCCTATCATCCTATACAAGGCGAGGCCCATCGAGGCCCCATGAACTAGTTCGTTAGATCCCCCGCAAGCCCTAAGCTGTTTAGCAAGTTGTGTAAGTCAGCTTCGCCATCCTCAAAAATCCAAAAACATCTCCCCATTTGTCGAAAAAAAAAACCTGGTAATTCAACAGTTTGCTATTGAAAATTGCCCATAGAAATAGTTGATTTAGCCACTAAACATGGTGATTTTCTACAGCTATGTAAACGTTTACCAGAGGGTAGCTTTTCCTATGGCTTTTCCTATGGTTTCCTCGGGGGCCCATCCCCGGTGCGCCCTGCACCTTCTGCGCCTCAGCCCGCCAGCGTCGAGCGCTGTAGGCCTCTCCATGCCACGACCTCGAGGCTGCGGATGGCGGTTTGGCCCATGACATCGTGGAGGCTGCGGCAACTCTCTGGAAATCATGATATCATGTTACCCTCTGGTAATTTAACATAGCTATTGAAAATTGCCATTTATAGTGGATTTTCCCATTAAACATGGTGATTTTCCATAGTTATGTTAGTTTACCAGAGGGTAACATATGATGAAATCTCATGAAATCTCATGTCATACGATGAAGTCTGATGACATATGATGACACATTCGACTATGATTTCTTGGAATCAACTGATAAACCATCCATGTTTTTGGGGTAAACACATATACACAGATGTAAACACCACAGCACGATGAAGCCATCATGACTGAGAATGGCTGAGCAACAATTTGGTACAACTTGCACCAAGACCATACCCATATCGGATACATATCCTCTATGAACCCGAGGCATCAGATCTCTAGTCCTCTGTCAAAGATTCTTGTAGGACCCTGAAGCTCTGTAGAAGAGAGAAAACATTATATCCCCATTGATATCCCAAAAGGAATAAATTCTCACTGATATCCTATTGTCTATTGGTTTACGGCATGGGGTTTCACCACATTAATACACTTCTGTTTGTTGTGAACACGAAGCGGCTACCAGGCTTCAGAACTGAAATGGACGAGGAGACTCTTGCTGTGCATCCTGTGACGCAGACAGGATGCTCCGCCCGAGTCGATAAAATATAATATACATATACATATACAACTACAACTACAACTACAACAACTACAACAACAACAACAACAACGACGACGACCTGAACAACACCAGGAGCAACAACAACATGTTCATCAGTGCGATGTCATTCAACCCCATCATTCTTTTCGACTTGTGTCCGGAAGAACTGTGAATCTTGCGTCTGAAGTGACAAACATCCCCTTCATGAAAGGGGCCAACCTGCCGGTCTCTGCCTAAGTGTGAGGAGAATTCGACAAAGACTCCCGTTTAGGGATTGAATGCAGCATCACAACTACGCAAATCATGTGGTGGGAAGTTTTGCTTACAGTCACTTTTCGTCCCAAAACATACAGCTCCCCTGTGACGCTTCGCTGAGAATCGCCGAATCACGATCACCGAAAGCGCACAATCACATTCAAAATCTATGTACATTTACATCTATGTCAGTTGCCCCATGAATTGCAGAACCAGCACGATGAAACCAGCATATAGATGTATATAGTACATTTTCTTACGGATGTTAATATACATCACATGTGCCATGGTCAAAACATCCGAACTTGGGTGAATCCAATCCAAGTGGGTTGAACATTTGGGAACACTCCCCCAAAATCAAGTTGTCCAGAATCATCCAGAATCATTCTCTGATAAAATTACTATGTTTTGGGTATGCCGGTATGCGCCAGTTTCAAACACATCCGAATCATCTTAAGTTGGAGATATCAAATATATTATATCCTCATTAATTACCCTCTGGTAATTTAACATAGCTATTGAACATGACCATAGAAATAGTGGATTTTCCCATTGAAAATGGTGATTTTCCATAGTTATGTTAGTTTACCAGAGGTTACCCACCGACAATCAAACATGGCAATGTGAAATCCCCTATAAATGGAGGTTTTAATTGGAGAATGACCAATAGATCGGGCATGTTCCGTTGCCATGTTTGATTACCGGGGGGTATGTCTTCATTAAAATCCCATTGAAATCATATGGCATCAGATTCAAATCCCACGTCATCAGATTTTTTTAAACTTAAACTTACTGGTGCTTAGTAGGGAATGGATGGGACTGGGGGAATGGGATTATTATAGTGATTATGGATCATTGCCTCATTCCCTGCGTTAAACGCACCAGTAAGTAAATTTCCATGAAAATCCCATTGAAATCCCATTAACATCCCATATTTAATATAATATTTCATCAAATTTCCATTGAAATCCCATTGAAACCACCATTCTCAGAGGCCATGGACTCCTCAAACACACGGCTGCCCGCTCGGCTCCCCCGCGGGCTCTGGCGGCAGCCTCCAGACGTGGCCTGATTTCGCATCCAGCAGGAGCCACGTTGGGAAAACGTTGGGCAAACGTTGGGAACATGTTGGAAGAATGCGGGAAAACACAAACATCTGTTGGAAAATATCTTGGGAAACCAAGGGAAACCCACGTTTAATAATCCCATCGTAAAATGGAACACTAAAATGGGACACTGTTCGGTTTTTCTCAACACCTCATAATAGTATTAGGTGACTGGCTGGTGTTTTGTCGCCACCCATTTGGGATAATCATCCCATTTTCATGCTTGTGACCATATTTGAAACCACCAGCTGGCTTGTGGACCATACGATGATCTCATGATCTCATGTAGATCCAGTTTCGGTTCCAGTCCGCGGGTGCGGGGCTGATATTTGCACGCATGGACTTGCGATCTTTGGACCCCACCACTTTGGACAAATCAGTGTTGCATCACATGGCTTTGTCTGAAGATAGGGTACCCCCAAATGCCCTGGTTGATCATCGAATTGTCTCAGTTATCTCTCTCAAAATTGCCATAACTGGAGCGGTTAAACCCCCTTTTCAGACACACCCACATCATGGGGTCATGCCACATATGCGTGGATCGCATCGGTGCCTGAAACCTCACGATTTCAACATTGATTCCCCACCAATAGTCACCACCATTCATTTCATGAGGTCGTTGTGAGCTCCCTACAATTTCCCCAGATTGGCTTAATCTCAGAATGGGAATGTGATATCAAATTCCAATGAACACACTTCTTTTCAACCATTGGATCCTCATTTCCTTTCACGGCATCTCCCAACGTTTTCAAACAAACCCGTTTCTGGCAGTTTCCAATCAAAATGCCAGGGGTTTCTCCGCATTTTTGCACCATTTTCCCAGCATTTTCGCCATGAGAAACGTCCCACGTGGCGTTTCCCAACTCCAAACGTCCCGCTCTTAGGCCATCTACGGAAGCGAGGCGGATCGCAGCATCTGCAGGCTGCGCCTTGGGCACATGTCGCCATGAGACAGTGGGATATGATAGCCTCTGGTAAACTAACAATGGGTATCATATAAATCAACTATTGAAAATGGCACATTTATAATGTTTATAGCTGATTTACCTATTGAAATCAACTATTGGAAATGGTCCATTTATAGTTGATTTACCTATTAACAATGGTGATTTTCCATAGTTATGTTAGTTTACCAGAGGGTAACATGAATATATCATAATGAATATTATCCCATATGAATGTATATATCATGGATCCCATAATGGATATGAATATATATATATATATCATATATATATATAATGAATGTTATCC